GAGAAACACCCCAGACCCAGCACTGCCGGGAACTCACCTCTCTTCCTTGTTTTTGCAGATACACTCCCCAATAATCTCCTTGATTTCTGGATCGTGCACTTTCTCAAAGCTGGCTGGCTTGATGCCCTGAAGATGGATGAGCAAAATCACCTGACACAGAACTGGCCTCTTCAAGGTGTCTACTTCTTGCATACTGCACACTAACCGCCTCAGGAGAAAAGGCAGGAAGCACAGAGGCTTGGGGGATAGGTTGGCTGTAGCAGGGAGGTCTGGGGAAGACAGACTAGGGGATGCTCCCTCACTCTGCTGTACAGAGGAGGAGGGTGGGGCAGAGTGGATCTGTTCGAAGCCCTACCTGGCAAGCCGGGGCCTCCAACGTCACCTGGAGGGTCTCAGAGGCTAGAAGAGAAACTGTTCCAACAGCTCGGCCCTTCTTACCACATCTCTACTCAAGAATGCTAGGAGCACTATCTGTGATCACTGTTGTTGGTCAAGGGCCACCAGAGATTGGCCCCACTGTGGCCACAGCAGGGTTGACCTCCAAGGCCTGGCTGCTCAAAGGTTTTGCAAACAGTCCGTGCCATGCAGTTCTGCCATTCAGTTCCATGGCCATGAGTCAGACCAGAGGACTTTCAGGTGCCAGGGTGTGGCCAAGCATCCACACTGACCAGAGACCCAACAGGTGCCAGTGAAGGGCGGCCACTGCTCAGCCATCTGGCTATGGTATGGGGGAAGCAGAACCAGCAAACTGAAGGGATTCCAGAAGCAGGAGTCAGATCACAGTTTATTTGTAATCTACTGGGAGAGGGAGGTTTTTAAACATTTTAAACACACTGAGGGTTCAACCGTCATCTTCTTTTAGCAAAACTCCACCTTCAAAGGCCTGTCCTGATTTCTTTTTTCATGTACAAAATAGGAAGCATACATTTTCCCACAATGAGGGATGGCAGGAAGATGGAGGCCCATCCACAGCCCGGGGACAGACTAGAAGTACAGGATCCACAGCGACTCCCACAAATTGAGGTGTGGCCCCCTGTACCCACCAAACCCCTGATTCCTGGGACCCATGCCTGTAACCAACAGGGGTCGTACTGTGCCCAATATGCAGGGAAGTTTGCAGCAGGCAGAACCCTGGGACTTAGAAGTGGCTGAGGGTTTCCCCTTGCTAATGAGACCCCAGGGCCTTTCTACTGAAGCCAACAGAAGAAGAGGTTTAATTACGCCAGGAGGAAAGGCCAAGATTCCTATGGGGTTGGTGGTCTGAGAAACTATGAACACACTGTCATTTAAATCTCTGAAAGACTAAGGACCTCAAAGCTGGTGAAGAATGTGCCAGAGGAACAAGGTACCATTCTGAAGGGGCTCAGAAACATGGAGTCAGGGCAGCTGAAAGCCAACGGCGCAGTGACCCCACCAGACTCTGGGGCAGGGACATGTGTCGGAGGCTGACCCAGCATGTGAGAGCACAGTGAGGGGCCAGCAGGAACACAAGGATGTCACTGAACGAAGGACACACTGAGGATCAGGGAACACGCTCCCATCTGGTTTCCTCGGGAAGGCAGGGTGGGGCTGAGCTTTGCTTTGCCCAAACCAACACAGGCAACACAGGGCCTTGGGACCTGGGTGTGCTCTGTTTCCTGGGACCTAAACAGGGCAGTGGAGCTGCTGGGAGCACCATGTTGGCTGAGGAGCATGTGCCAAGGGGGCTCAGTCCCTGTCTCCCTTAGGCCAGCAGATAAACCAGAACAATGGTCTTCGGGCTGCTCCTCCTGCACCCCGGCACTGGCACCTCCAAGGCCTGCAAGTGAAGCCCTGAGCTTCCTCAGGTCCCCCCACCCACCAGAGAACAGTGTCCACAACTCTCTCCTGCCAGCACCACTAGGAGCTACACATCTAACTGTGGGCCTCTGACCCGCACTCACAAGTGCCACCAGCTCGAAGCCTCAGTGGCACACAGGAGGGGCTCAGAGCAAACAAGTTACTGTTAACTCAGAATTAAGAATCAAAGGAGATGAGCAATGACCTTCAGGGAGGAGGGCAGGACGAGGGTGACAAGAACCAGGCCCCTTGTGCAGAAGCAGTGAGGGTGTACCAGGGTCTGGGGTAACAAAGCCAACCCTTGGGAGCCATGTGGTCAAGTGCTGTGGGCGGAGAAGGACAGTGATGAACTAGAGCCCAGAAAAGCCACAGTCCAGCTACCCTGCCTTGGATACTCCCTTGGATACTTCCCAACCAGGCAGGACAGCCGCAAAGGGAGGACAGGATGATCTGTCCAATTAAATCCTGGGGACATACTGGAAGACAGAAAAGCCAGTGGTCCTCAGAGTGGCCAAGAAAAGAGGTTCCAAGGACAGGGAGCCTGGGCACCTGGCAGGGGGCCCCAGCTCTGCAGCACTGTGAGGCCCTGATCATCACCTCCAGGCACCACCCCCAGCACCTATGTTATTACTACTGTTGTGTGGGTTCTACTAATACCTAAGAGACCTGAGCAACCACCCCCCTGTCTCCTCATCTGTGAAATGGCCTAGTCCCTTTCCTCACACAGCTGTTAGGAGGATTTCATGAAGGCACACAGAGTCCAGCTGGGACACACAGGCCAATGCAGTGGCCAGGGGACTCACACAGGTGACCTTCCTGTAGATCTGGGCGGCGTTCTGGCACTCCGAGTAGGGGTACTCCGAGGTGGCCATCTCCAACATGCACATCCCGAAGGCGTAGACATCCACCGACTCGTCATAGTGCTCCTCGTACATCTCAGGTGCCATGAACTCAGGAGTACCTGGGCCCAGGAACAACAGATGCAGGGTTGGTTGTCATAAGCCTGAGAGCACCCTGGGCCCCTCAGAGCCCCCACGCCTCCTCCCCCATCCACATGCCATGCCATCGGTCCTGAAATCCTGATTCAAACAGAAGTACTCTGCAGACAAAAGTTCTGGAAAATTCCTCCTGCGCCCTCCTAAGTCTGGGTTGGATCAGTCCACAGAGCTGGGAGACTATTACTTCCCAGAAACTGGGTCTATGCCCAAAAAGGCTGAAGGTGCCTTTCATCGGGAAGGCAGAACTCCAGCCAGCACACCCTCCCAGCACAGGCCCAGATAGCCCAGAGCAGACAAAAACTTGTGATCATAACAGAGCTGCTTAAATTGCAAAAACCCAGAAAGGCCCAAATATCCCCAGACACACCACACAGCAGAGTGTCAGGCATCACGCACAATGATCTGAGGGTGGCTGGGCAGGTGCCATTTACTTGGCAAATAATTCAGAGGTTTAAGGTAGGAACTACTCACACATTCAAATCACGAAAGATTTTAAAATAATGTTCACTCTGAATTTTTAAGGACATGAAGACTTACAATGGACTGAGTAAAATAAACAAAATATACACTGCATGTACATGCTGACCTCACCTATACAAAACCACAAGCACAGACCAAAATGACTCGTCTGGCAGATGGGGTTATGGCTGATTTTCTTCTTTAGTTACACTGGTCTGGGTTTTTTAATTTTTCTGTAATAAACTTCTACTTTAAAAATCACACAATCCTTTTATAAAAATAGGTCTGAGCATCAGTCAAGCTGAATGTAAAGAAAAGGGGCATCTACTTCAATGAGACTGCTTTTAACTTCTCTGTTGACTTTGGAAGATTTTCAAAATGTCCCAGTTTTTTAAAACAGCACATGCAAAATAGCATGAACTAACTATTGTGTTAAAAAGCACATGGTGGGGTCATCAAAATGTTTACACGGCTATCTCTGGGATGGCTTTCGGAGCCACACCTGGAGCCATCGGACCCCACGGCTTGATGTGTCAGACACCATATATAGCCACCCTACAGCCCCTCCAAGCGCTCTCTTTGCAAAGCCAGGAAGAGCCCCTGCCTAGGACCTGGACCTGGTGGACACATAGCGCCCACTATATGCCAGGACCCCAAATGGAGCCAGCATACAGGACACCAGACGTACCATCTCTACTATGAAAGGCAGCTACAAACTAGGTAGCTTCTCAAAGGAAGACAAGATACACAGAGGCAAAAATGTACAGTAAACCAGCATCCACAGGGAATCCCTCAGCCCCCAGGGCCCACGCACAGACTCAAGGCTTGCTCACTCCAGCACAAACACCCCTGGGAGCCTTCCATGGGCCCCACAGCCTGGGTGTCACCTCGACACCTGCCAAGGCCAGCTCCAGCGTCGCCAACCACAGAATCCCCACATCCCTCTGTCACCTCCTTCCTGCTCCTGAGTACCCAGAGACTCACAGGCACCAGCCAGCAGGGCCACGGCTTAGCTCAGGGGCCCAAGGGGCAGTACAAAGGCGGGCTTACCTATCACACTCTTAGCAAAGGATGCTCTCTTGAGGGTGGCCAGGCCCAAGTCGCCAATCTTCACAGAGCCAGTGGGTCCGGTGATGAAGATGTTGTCACACTTGAGGTCCCGGTGGATGATGGGGGGCGTTCTGGTGTGCAGGAACAGCAGCCCCTTCAGGATCTGCCGGCACCAGCTGCGCAGCACCTTAGGCTTCATCACCTTGAACCGCTTCAGGTACCTGCAGGAGCGTAGCTCACCAGCTACTCATGTGGGGAAGGGTTTCCCACTGCTGGGGGCCATGTACTTATCACCCAAACAGAGACACTTATAAGGGAAGAGTGCTGGCCACATACCAACTAGGATCGCCCAAGCCATCATGAGCCCTGCACCCTGGGCCAAGCCCACCCTGAGGCCCCGACCAGTGAGCCAGGAGGCACGCTCACGTCTTCAGTGTCCCTGAGGTCATCAGCTCGGTAACCAGTACGATGCACCGCTTCCCCTTGGCACTGGACTCCCAGAAGTCGTAAAAGCGCACAATATTGGGGTGCTGCAGACCCTTTAGCATCTCGGCCTCCTCCTTGAACCGCTGTCGCTCCAGCTTGGTGAGCTTCCGGTCCTAGAGAGACACACACGGCTGAGAGGGACACCGCCATGCTCTCCCACAGAGCCAGGTAATCCTGGACAGGGCCAGCCAGGCTGCCTCCTTTTGCTCAGGGAGTACAACGGAGGGGGAGGACCAACCTGGAGGAGTCCCACACTGCACAAGGAGCTCATCAAAAAGGTCTCCAGGACCCAGAGACACCTCGAAAACCACTGCAACGCTCACGTACTTTTCTAAAAACATCAAAGGCCTTGCGACCTATACATCCAGTGATGGAATATGGTTAAAACAAAGAATTTATACACAACTTTGAGGATGCATTCATGAACACAACAGATAAGAACCAGAAAACCAGGAGAGAGATCAGAGGCAAGAGCAGTGAATGAAGACCAGAGTCCCAGCCAAGCCCACGACAGTGCTAGAAGACATGGCACACAAATCTCCTGGGCCTGGGGCCACCTGTGCCCAACACCCTCAGCACATCTGAACACCCTCTAACACCCCAACCCATAGGCTGCAGTGTCTCCCCACCACCCTCATCTGCCACCACCCATGCCCTCACCTTGTCCGCCCCAGCAGCCTGGATCTTGGCCTTTCCATTCCTAAAACCCACCCATGGATTCTCAAAACAGAGCACTCAGAACAAACCGCAAGCACTCTGCTACTTCCAATTTCATCTCACAGATGATCCTCACTTCCAAAGGCCCCAAGTGCAGCCTTCTCCTCCTGCCTGAGCACATGACCCCCAGTGTCACCTCTGTCCTAGTCCAACAGGCCACACAGCCCACAGAATACACACCTGGCCCTCCCACCAGGAGAACTCCCAGAGAAACATAAAAACAACTGAACATGGAAGGGGGAGCTTCGAGGAGTTCCAGGAAGACAGAAGAGGTGCATTTGGACAGATGGAGAGAAATCAAAGCTGAAATGAAACAGGCCAAGTCCCCCGGGGTCCTTCAGGAACACTCCGAAGGACATAAAGCCAGACCCCAACCAATCCAGGGAGGAGGGGGGGGGTCCTGGGATCATGATCAGTCATGTGGTTAAGGAATTCTGTCCCAAGTGGCACTATACCCATTTAGGTACTCTCCTTCCCGCCAGCTCCAACCCCCTCCAAATCCTTGTCAGTCTCTCCATGCAAAAGTGGGAACAGACGGCATGATCACCAACAGAGCAAAAAAAATGCCAGGAGAAACCCTCAGAATGGCTGATCCCAGAAAAACAAATAATTCAGGGACAAAGTCCACTTCAAAAACATCTAGTTCATGTCCTCACATGGACCCAAGAGGCTGGCACACATAAATAAGACCAACTTTATACTTTAAAAAGTAACAATCAAGAAAAACCTCTTGCAAATTAAAGCTCGATGTTTTAAAAATAAGATATCCCATAATCCAATGAAACATTAAGCACAAAAAGTCTATGTTGAATGTAGATAATAACATGGAAACATGTTCCATTCATCAAAAATGATGATTTATTTAAGAAAATAAAAGTCAAGCCACCAACTGGGAAATATTATTCCCAATACATGTGTTTGACATGGGACTCAGATCCAGAATAAAGATGAACTCCTGTAACTCGATAATAAAAAAAGACTGTATGTCACAAAAGAAGAGGAAGAAATGGCCAATAAGCACATGAAAGCATACCCCGAGTCACCAGGAAAACGCCAATTACAACCACAAGATCTCACTCACACCCACCAGCAGGGTAAAATAAAAAGGATCTTTCCAACCGCTGGACAGCAGGGAAGCTAAACCCTCCATACACGAGGCTGTTGGAAGTGCATGTGGCACAAGCCTTGGAGAAGCCTCAGCATGTTCACACCCAGCTCTAGGCCCAGATACTCCCTGCCGGGTACCCACCAAAGACAGACAACCAAAGAAGACAAGTATATGGGGTTCAGAGCAGATCCGCTCACAAACCCCAAACTCCAGAAAAGGCAAAATTAATGAGTGGGACTGAAACTACTACAGTGCTTGCTCTAGGTTGGGGGAGGTGCACAAGCTGAGAATCTAGGAGGCAACAGCGATGCTCTACATGTAACAGAAGACTTGGTTACATCAGCATGTACATCTGCTTGTATACTTATGTGTTTCTTTGTATGTCAGTTATTGCTCAATTTTTCAAACATTAAAAAAAAAGTGAAAACATCCGAAAACCAAATGTGAGAAATAAAAGAGAAACATCAAGAGACACGAAAGAATCAGCTGGAAGACTAATAACATGTAACAGGAGTTCCAAGAAGAAAGAAGATATCAGGAAGGAGAAAGACAGTGGGATAGAATTTCTCTGAGCTGAAGGCAGAACTATTCAGAATAAAAGCCTGTGCCCCAGCCAGGTCAGAGTAAATGAAAAATGACCCACCACCAGACCAGTTCCAATAAAATTCGGACTCCTGAGGGCCGAGAGCAAGCCCACCAAGGAGCTTGGGGCAGTTGTGTCTCCTGGGCAACCCTGACTGCAGTGCAGCTGGTGGGGCAGCCCCCTCAAAGTGCTGCCTCTGACCTGGAACTCTATACCCAGCCAAACAGATGTCGAACCTGCGGCCCCAGGACTGATTCTCAGACACTAGAGAACTCGAAGGTGACTCCCAGGCACCCCAGGTGAAACAGTCACTGGAAGGAGTGTTTCTGAACAACACAGCACAACACAGCAGAGGGAATGCAGCAAGCCCTGCCTGCTGCTGAACTTGGCCACACTGAGTAAAGGAAGCCAGGCTGTGGGATGTCCCCTGCACTGCTCCTTGCCAGGCAGCTAACTTTGGGAAATGACATTTCAGTTCCAATTCCCTTCCAAAGGTCCGGTCACTGATTCTAGAGAAAACTCAGAGAATCACTTACAGTATAAATTGTTTTAGCCAGCATTTCAACATCAACCAACAGCAAAGTAAAAGATTTCACTGTAGTCAGAGCAAAAGGTTCATGTTATAAACAAATAACAACTGAGAGAGGAAGAAAGTGCCCTCTATGTGCTTCAGTCTGATTTTCTGTGACAGATACGGGCTAATGGCGACAAAGACACAGGTCTTCATGACAGTAGCTCTTGGAGCTGGGCTTGGGGGATGGGGGGTGGACAGACCTTATTTTATGTTCTAAGCCACCAGGCTATTTTTAACTAGGTGACACACTGCTTGATAATTTAAAAGGTCAGTTGTGTGTCTTCAGAGCACTGCCCAGAGCCCGCCTGCAGCGTGCTGCCTGGCATCCCCTTGCAGAGCTGGCCTAAGTCCTTATCATTGTTTGTTGATTGCTGGTCAGCCCCATGAGATCGGCAACTCTATGGAGGCAGAGCCACCCCAGCAACTGGCCATCATCACTGCTTGTGGGATGAATTCATTACCTGACATGCTGGGACAGCTGGAAGTCATCAACCAGGGAAGGAAGAAAGTTCCTGATCTCCGTAGGACCCTCAAGTCCTGCCAGTCGGGTTGTTCTTGAGGTACAGTACTGGGAGGCTGGGCTACAGATGCTCACACGCAGACAGGGAGGACAGGTCACTTAGCCCAGCCTCCCTGCCACCAAGCCCTAGTGCTGCCTGAATTAGTGGCTCCTGCTCTCCCAGAGATAGTGAAGGCTGATCAGATTACAAAGAATAAAGCATTTTGGACAAAGCTGGCTCTTGTCTCCTACAGGAAAAAGGCCCAGCCAGTCTCAAAAGTCACCCTCAGAGTAGGGACAGTGAGGTGAGACAGGGTGCTTGGGTCAGACAGCCAAAGCAGTCAGAGGAGGATAGCCCTGGATCTGAAAGCCCTCTCTCGCATGACTCAGGAGTCATCATCTCTGCCCTAACAGCCCCATCAGGGAGAGCGGAAGTCCTGAGACCCAGAAGGCCACCCTCCTGCTCTCGGTGTAGTTCTACAGCCATCTCCTTTCAACCAGGCTAAGCCCAACCAATCTCACAAGGATGGAACTGCCCAGCCATCCTAAGTCCAGCCAGGGGAATATGGAATCCACATACATAGGGCAGAAAGGGATAAAAAGTAGCTGGAAGGAGAATGCCCAGAATCAGTAGAGTCTTGGGGTGACAACCTGGCAGAGGACCTCTCTCCAGCTGCGTTAGGTCATCAATCAAAACAAAATAAAAAAAGGCTTCAAGAGTCTGTTGAGACCTGTCCCTTGTACAGGGAAATCAGGCCAGGACAAGAATCCAGGTACTAAGTCAGCTCAGAACAGGCAGCTCCAGGAACAGAGTTGGCCCAGAACAGGGCAGAGGGTGGGGAGGATATCTGACACTCAGGACAGTCACCTCGGTGGAAAGGGTGCTGCTCTGTCCCCCGCAAACCTTGCACCTGATGGGCAGCTACAGGCCCAACTCAGTCACCAGATGGTCACTGAGGCTCTCGGTTTCAGGTACGGGCTGTGGACAACCTCAGGGGGAGTAGGTAACAGATAAACATGCAATTTCACTGCGGCTAAAAACAAATAAACATGCAATTACACTGCAGCTAAAAACACAGTGAAGAGATGGTTGGGCAGTGCCAGCCAGGGACACTCTTGGGCTAGAGGAAAAGTTCCTGTGGCCTAGGGGGAAGGACAGCCCTCATCCACCTAGGGCACTGGCAGAGCAGGTATTCTAGGAGGAAGCATCTTGCATGTAGGTGTGAGGTCCCAGGTGAACAGGTGGAGTGTGGCTTATGTCCACACAGGGGTCAGCATTACAGGGACAACAAGAAGGTGTTGAGTTCCTACAGGGGGCCGCCAAGGGAGAGACCCTGACAGATAGTGATGTCTCACATTTTGAGCTGCAACCTGCTCCCTCTAATATTTACTGTAGTTTTAAAAATAAACTCACTTCTTTTAACTCCAAGTGCTCTCCTTAACCTTATCTAAGCAATAAAATATGTGAAATCACAGGTGCACAATGTATGCTTTTTCTAACTCACCTTTAAAATAAAGGTGTTATTATTAAAACAAATAGTTCTCGGGGCTGCTGCTAACACATAAGATACGCCCCCGCTCCCCAGTCTGAGGAAGCACGAAAAAGAAAAGATCCCTCTGGGCAGGGGCTGG